ACAATCTGATTGGGGTTTTTCCATCTCTGATCTTTCTTGCTATTAGGTTAAAAAATGATCCCACTTTTCCAACCTCATGTACAAAAGTGACTATGGAACAAACTAAACTCAAAATAACCTTAAAACAAACAAACAAATAAAAAAAAAACCTTAAAACTTCAGAGTATCTGTGAAAGATTTGTGACTTGCTAAACAGAAAAATGGTGTCATTTAGGGAGAGGTATAAAGTAAAGAAACCTTGCTTTTTCTTCCCCTTCACTGTTTTGACAATTTGAAGTCTACAAAGATAAAATATTATTTCAAACAGGGGTGGAGGTATAGCTCAGTGATAGAGCACATGCTTAAAATACTATATCAATTCTGGTATAATTATAACTTAGCTTTAAAGAAATGTTACGTCAGCCAGGAATGATGGTACAGGACTATCATCCAAGCAACTTGGGAGGCTAAGGCAGGAGGATCACAAGTTCAAGGCAGCCTCAGCAATTTAGCCAGACCCTAAGCAAATTAGTGAGACCCTGTCTCAAAAGATAAAAAGGACTGTGGATGTAGCTCAGTGGTTAAGCCCCTCTGGGTTCAATCCCAGGCTTCTTATTTCCAAGTAAAAAAATTTTTCTATCAAAAAAGTAAAATGGCTGTGTGCAGTAAGTGGCACATGCTTTTAGTTCCAGCAACTTGGGAGCTTGACATACGAGGATCACAAATTCAAAGCCAGCCTCAGCAATTTATTGAGGCCCAAAACAAAATAAAATAATAAAAATAAAAAGGGCTGGATTTGTGGCTCAGTGATAAAGTACCTCTGGGTTCAATCCCTGGTACAAAGAAAACAACAACAACAATCTTGCTTTAGAGCATGATATATGATTCTATGTATACATTTATTATATATGTGTTTTAGTACAACAATGAATTATTTATTCCATTTATACTAGGTTCTAATAATTAGAAGTGGCAAAGTAGCAACTCAAGGGATAGATGTGGCTCACAAGATAATTTTCATTGGTTTGGATAGCCTATATTTGTTTAGTTGAACTAGATGTCAACACTATGGTTCAAGAGTTGTGGATTATTGTAAAGTAGTTTAAAAAGCTGGAAAACTTCATATAAAATTCAGGTCTCTACCTTTTTTTTTTTTTTGAAAACCCTGAATATAAAATAACACTGAATCCAAACTGTGGCTCAAGTTAAATAACCATTGTCTGACTTCCAGTGTGCTACTATGTGCAGCCAGCCCCTTACTTACAATCATTTATGATCCCTGCACAGATCCTATAGGATCTGAGTTTGTGACCCTAATCTATCATGACTATATAAAAAGTTTGCTCACTAGGAAGACAAAAATCAGAATTTATTTCCTAACATAACAGAGTTGGTCCATCTAGGTATTTACTTTGAATGTCTGAATTTTATAAATGAAATGCATTACTATGCCACAGAATGTTGTTATGTTGTTTTGGTACACAAAAAAGCTGAGAATCAAAGTCCATCCCTTTTGATTTTCAATATTCCTGAGATTTTCCAATAACTCTTCCAAGTTATCCTCAACAGCACAGAACAATTAACTTCCATTAGTTTTAAGTAATAAAGGAAAAATTAGGAGACTATAATTATACAAGAAGAACAGTTGTTTTACTAACAGAGAATACATTAATATCAAATAATACCATAACTCTTAAATAATATGGTTATAATAAAAATGGGTTTTTTGAGAAACACCAAGCACATTTAAAAATAAAATGTTCCTGGAGTTTTCTTTCTCGACTCTCACTGAAACTACATAGTTTCATTCATGGACACTTTTTTTTAGATATGTTACTCATTCTACTCTTAGAAAGATGGTATGTTTGTATTCAGTAAAATTATGACTGACAAGGTTGGAAGCCCTGCTTGCTCTGAGGTATACAGTGCTCTTGCTTTTCCTATAACTGCTCTTCCCTCTCTGAAGATGCTTTATCTATCTTTCCACTTCAGATATCAGGAGTAATGGTAACCTGTAAACACCTAAGAACTAGCTATTCATGAAACAGCTGCTTTTTGTTGGCATAAAGTATTAAGTTTCTGTTTCACTGAAGGAGAATAGATTGCCAGAGTCATGGGAGGATGCTCCTTGTTTATTCTTAAACTATCCATTTTACTTGAGGTTACTATTGCTGCCAGCAGGTAGATAAGCAGGATTCAACAGACTCCACCTAGACGGATCTACAGTTCTTTAGCCCATGCTAGATGCCCTGTACCACCTCAAGGGTCTCAGTGCCTCCTACAGGGCCAACTGTCCAGAACGGGCAAAAAGCTGAGTCCTAAAACTCCTTGACAATGCTAAGACCAAATGGGATGGCAAAATCTGAATACTACCTTGGTTCCTCTCTGGTAGGCTACTGTTCTGCCTATTTGTACACTGAAGAGGACCACAGTCGTCCTCCAACAATAGACTCATTGCCTCATAGGAATCCAGATTATGAAACTCAAGAGACTATTAGCTGGCATTTGGCAAGGACATTTCTGAGTCCTGGAGACCAGTCTGAAGCTGCTGCTTTAGCTTCACAGCTGGGTAGGGGAAGGATGATGTCATAATCAATCAGATCCTGATATAGCAATTTAAGCATGTTTTTCCAGAGGCCTTGTTCAACAAATTTCTTTTATTTGATTGAAGTGGTTTCAAAAGTAGATCTGGCATTTGTTGAGAGCATTTCCTTAAAGGGGCATTTGAGGTACAAGCCAGGAAGGACCACTGGTACTACTTTGAAGTCTCATGCAATTCAAATACAGGTTTAATCTCCTGCAACTGCAATGAGGTTAAAATAGACTGTAAAGTCACAGGTCAAGTAGTGCCAATTCTTAATTTGTGAGGCTGCTGATATTTCCAAATTGCCTTGCAGGGAAATGAAAAGCATTCATTTTGATCTAATGGTGGTAAATCTCTTTCCTGTCGAGAACCATCCGTGGGCTGTATGTGGACTACATCAGCATGGTAGCCAGTGAGGGATAGATCTGGCATTAGAAACTTCCCTTGGCAGTCCCACCGGGATGGATCCCCCAAATGCAAGTGAACTCCTCCTCAGCTCTGCTAAGAGGTCTCACACAGCACCAGAGATGGGGAGACCTGCTGCAGTCACACAGCCTCTCAGAGATGGATGTAACCTGCCAAGATGCCAATCAATCTGCTGACTGCCAGACACCAGGAAGCAGGACTCCACCCCTGAAACCTTATTCCTGCCTTTAATGTACCCCCTTAAATAAACCACAGGAACCATTTTCTAATTGTCCAGCTCCAACTCAGACAGCTGTGTGGGCTGGGCCTATCAGGTGCTCCAGGCTCCCTTTAAAACTATTTTTTCTGACTCTGTCTTTTGTTCTTCACTAATTATTTCTGACTTATCTTCTCCGGTAGATTACATCCTCCACAGGCAGGAAGAAAGACCCCTTAGGGAGGCACTGGCTGCCTCCCCATACTTTTCAAATGAGCAGGGCTGGGTCTACCAGACTCCAAATTGGTAAATAAATCTCAGCCCATTTCTTTCAGCACTCAAGGAGAAGAAATTAAAAAGCATTTTTGTAATTATAAATTTTAAATTCACAAAAGCTCCATTTAATCAATTATAATTTACACACACACACACACACACACAATCATAAATAAATGACTGCCAAAAATAGGAGTAAATAGCAAAACTTTTTATTAGTATTTAAATGTGCCAAGCTCTATGTTAAATGCTATATATGCCTAAGCATTATCTCATTTAACCATCAAAATAACCTCTTTAAGCATTGTCTTTATTCTATCACATTCATTAGAAAAGTAGTAGAACCTAAATGTATAATTGCTATGTTAATCTGCCCTTGCCCATCCCAAAACAGTGCACATTAAAAAAAAATAATGAATGCCAATGGAAAAATACATAAGCAGAAAAGATTTCTTCTAACACAGAAAGAAAAATTGCCTGCTTAAAATTATTTTAATCCTAAAATAAGCTTCAAATAATAGCTTCAAGGACTGGAGGTATAGCTCAGTGGTGGAGTACTTGCCTTGCTCTGGGTTCAATCCCCAGAACCCTTTTAAAAAAAGCAAAACCCAAAAGATAATGGCTTCAAAAGACTGGGCAGATTTCATGTTGTTTACAATAACAAGGAAAAAAAAACCCTGCTGACCAGAAAATCAAAGACTACAATGTTGTCAGCAAAAAACCTAAAATAGGGCAGGCACCACATGGAAATGGAATGATACAGGTTCACCTATTCTAGATACAGATTTTGCCTTTATGATCTCAAAACTATGCCCTGCAGGTAAACATCAGCCAATTTCTCCTCAAATACTTCAGTGAAATTTTGAAGTTTATTTCAGCTCTTAAAACACTAAGGTCTAAATTGAACGATTTAGAAAGTATTATTCTTATCATTCATGTTATGATTTGCCAACCTTGAAGTTAATTTTTAAAATCTTATCTTTTTCTTCTTTAAATGAGTGCTTAAATATTTATTAGATGATGATTAATAATTTTAGTGAAGCTTTAATTAGTTTATTGAAGCATTTTTCATAGGGAATAATCAAGTTAGGGTCTCCAAAACTGCTTACAAGAACCTAAGCAAATAGGGAATGAACTAGCTTAGCAGAACCAGAGATTTCATGATCCACCCGAGACATTAAAAAATTAACTAGAAACCAAAAACATGATGTGGGCTACCCAACACTTCTGTGTGGGCTGGATAATGGGTCACAAATTTGAAACTCCTAAACGAAAGCCTGGAACTATAATCTGAAGTTTTTTTCCAAATACAGTTGATTCCTGTTACAAAGAGTCTATATAATAGATTCTTTATAGATTTAAATTAGTACAAATTTGCTCACATATTGGCAATACCACTTACCTGGAGATTTGTCACATATCAAAATGTCCTGGGTAGAAGTTAATTATAACATATAAGTATGGCTTGTTTTACTTATAAAACGACACGTAAGTGTTTTAACTACATAAAAATGAAATACTACTAAAGTGGCATTTTACCTGCTTAAGAAATCGGTTAGATGCATTGCTGTGTTTGGCTAACACACTTGGCAGAGCAGGATTAGCATACTCAAACTGTGGATTGTAGGTATAGTCAGACTTGAAGAATCTCAGTTTCTCTTTCTCTAAGTTGGTAGGCTTTATAGCAGTCAATATGCAAAATTTTTTTCCAGAAAACTCATCTGCTTTTTCAAAGCTTCTACAGAACTGAGGCTGCTGCTTTGGCTTTGGAAGAGCGGAGAAATGGCGCCGCCTGACCTTGCTTTTTGGTTTAGGTGGCAGTATTATGCTGTTCCCTGTAACAGAGATATCATGTGTAAACTTTACAGGACTTGACACTGACTTAGTGACAAAAACAGTAGGCTGCCTCTCCAGGCAGTACCAAGTACCACTGCTTGCCACAGGCACTGGGGTTTTCGTCCTGCAAGGATCTTTACTATGAGGGGAGCTAGGAGATTTGCTGGGTTTTCTACATCTTTTGGAGTAGGTGGACGAAGACTGTTTTTGTAAATGATGTTTTCTCTCCTCCTTGCTTTGTAGTAGGACATTGTAACTACTGGTTCCAGTTGTGAAAATGTCCTTTAGTATTCCAGCAGGTAAATGTGAAAGGCTTCTTTTGCTGTCAATGATCAATGAATCTTCTGCATTTAGAATAGACTTCTTGGCGAGTTCTTGCTCAGGCCAGTGAAGCTTTTCTGTGTTAATAAACAAAACCAAAAAAGAAATAACAAAGATGCCAGATGAAGCAAATTGATTATTATACAAAAAGTCTTCTGAAAGTTCTGTAAACCTTATGTTTTACAATAATCTTTAGAAAAGATATTTTATTTAATTTATTTATTTATTTATTTATTTATTTTTTTTTTTTTTTTTAACCAGGGATTGAACTCAGGGGCATTCGACCACTGAGCCACACCCCCAGCCCTATTTTTTTTTTTTTTTAATTTTTTATTGTTGGCTGTTCAAAACATTACATAGTTCTTGATATATCATATTTCACACTTTGATTCAAGTGGGTTATGAGCTCCCATTTTTAAGAAAAGATATTTTAAATAATAAGAATATATATTATAAACACTGTCACTTCTCTTCCCTTAGTGTATATATGTTAAATTATCTATAAAAATCCTCAGTTTCAAACCATTGAGATGACCAAGGTCAAATATAGCTGTGAGATAATACACATAAATAATCTGCATTCTCTACCAAAGAATGTGAGTTTTATAGAAAGGATGTAGTATTATTAATATCAAAGTAAACTCCAAGGTGCTTTCAAAGTTAATTTAGTCTTGAAATTTGGAACTATATATAAAAGTAGCCATCTACAGATGGACAACATGCCTTATTTACCTTGAAAAAAATAAGATTAAAGGGATGATATGTCTATCTTCAAGCATGTTTTAATAATGTTCAACATTAATAATTGGTTAATTTTCTTAATAATTCTAAACTGTAGCTTAAGGTTTTTTAGCAAATTTAAAAAACAATTACTATTCAAAGGGTTTCAGTGTATTCAGTTGCAAATTAACTTAAAGGGGGCAGCTTTGTCTTTAAATCTCACAAGCACTTTAAATAGATAAGGATTATTTATATACTGATGCTCATGCACTGATTTAAAACTGTGTTTATGTGTATTCTTTCATTCAACAAATTTATAAAACTCTACTAACTGGCACATGGTGTAGGGAACCCCCTTTCTCCATAGAAAAGTCTTAACTGGGCTTCTCCAGAAATCTTCACCATGGCTGATTTTAGGACTGTCGGCAAAAGAGTCTCTACAAAAGAGTTCAACGTAGATAAACTTCCAATTTTCGTGTTGCCCTGTTTTACTTGGCCACTGGCCGGGAAGAAATCCGCACTCCAGGTGCTGGACACCCCCTTACTAGTTTTTCACAAACATGTATCCATTATAGTAGTTTGTAGAAATATGTAAACAAGGCCTCCGGCCCTGAGTTGGGGCTTCACAGAGATGTCTACATTTCTAACATAAGAAAAGTTACCAATTGGGCTCCATGGTAACAGCTGGCAGGGAGAGGAAAGAAAGGGGAGAAGGTGGTCTTCCCTTCTCAGGTGCTGTCCTTGAAGAGTTAACTTGCCCAGAACACTGAAAGAAAAAAACTGCTTTTAAGTTAACTTCTGCAGACTGTGAATTTCTGAGCCCCTCCCCTTACATGCTGGGTATAAAATCTGAAACTACCTGAACTTGGAGTTCAGGGGATTGATTAATTATAGCAAAAGCTGTACCCTCTGAACCTGGCTGCAGCCAAATAAAACTGTTTCCTGCTGTCCTCGGTGCCTTGCTTTGTCTGTCTCTACAACAATGGTTCTGGATAATTGGCATGTCCATATAAATACATTGTTCCTGCCTACATGTGAGGCAAGTTCTCTACTACTGAAATATATCCTCAGTCCTTCCAGTCATCTTCTAATCTCTGAACACAAAGCACTCCTATAAAGTTTTGATTAATAATACAATGTAGTACATGATTAAAGGTGGGAAACAAGAGATAGCAACAATAATCCAGAATTCAAGAAGTAAAGAGAGCAATGTGAGAATAACCAGATTACGTTCAGGTAGGAACCTAACCTGATTCTTTTAGTCAGCTTTTTCACTGCTGTGACTAAAGACCCGAAAAGAGCAATTTTTTAAAAAATATTTTTTAGTTGTAGTTGCACACAATACCTTTATTTATATGTGGTGCTGAGGATAAACCCAGGGCCTCGCACATGCTAGGCAACCATTTTACACTGAGCCACAACCCCAGCCCACTGACAAGAGCAATTTTAAGGGGAGAAAGTGTATTGGAGGCTCACAGTTTCAGAGGTCTCAGTCCATAGACAACCAGCTCCATTCCGCTGGGCTCAAAGGAAGGCTGAACATCATGGTGGAAGAGTGTGGCAGATGGAAGCAGCTTACATGATGATCAGAATTCCACTTGCCAGATACAAAATATATATCCCAAAGGCAAAGGCAAAAGCATGCCCCAATGCCCACCTCCTCCAGCCATACTCTACCCACCTTCAGTTACCACTCGTTCAGTTAATCCCTATCAGGGGATCAATTCACTAACTGGGTTAAGGCTCTCATAACCCAATCATTTCACCTGTGAACATTCCTACATTGTCTCACTCATGAGCTTTTTGGGGACACCTCACTCCAAACCATAACAGATTTGAAGGACTTTCAGACTCACTTCTAAACTCTTAAACCCAGCTCATCTGAAGAAGACTCCTGTGTTCAAGTCCTGTTAATAAGTGTTCACTAAATAAATGATTATATGACCCTAAGCATGCCACTCTCCAACATTCTGGATATAGAGGTAGATATTTATTGTTCTGGAACCATTCTATTTCTATGAGAAGAGCATTGCAAAAGTAGAAAGGTAGCAAGAAAAATCCTAATCCACTGGTTCTCAACTCAGGGTTACTCCCTATTAGGGAACATGTGGCAATGCCTAGAGACATTCTGGTTGTCATACTGGGAAGGGGCTACTGGCATCTTATGGATAGGGTCATATTAAAGGTGGATTGTGCAACAAGGTCAATCAAAAAACGTTAAAAGATTATATCTGCCAAACAAAACCAAAAACAGGACAAATAAAATTTTCACCACAAGACGGGAGATCCCAGTTTATTAGCAATTTCAGACTTAAGTATTGCTAACTGATAGTCAAAACTGGCAAGGCAAATAAGCTAAGGAACATCAGGACACAAGCTGTAGCCGAAATGCCCCAGAACAATGTCAGTTTCCCTAAAAGGGCACCACAAGTTTAGGAAACAAGAGATGATAATGAAAGGGATGGATACTGAAATGGACACCAAAAGAGAATGATGAGAACTCAGATAAGAATAAAGGTTATCAGAAGTCTAGAGAGGTAGGGTATGAATGTGGAGCAGCCAAAATATTGAAAGGGAGGTAGTCAGGTTCTTTTCTTATCATCTCCATAATGAAATTAAAACCAATAAATAAAATTACTCTGAGGAAGTTCTATTCTGATGGTTCATTACTGATGTTGTGCTGATTTTTAAAAATAATTCACTATTAAAATTGTTTGGGGCTGGGGTTGTGGCTCAGTAGTAGAGCACTTGCCTCGCACGTGCAAGGCCCTAGGTTTGATCCTCAGTACCACATAAAAATAAATAAAATAAAAAGGTATTTAAAAAAAAAGAAAATTGTTTATTTGGTTCTGAAGACTTGGTAGCTTTATGACCAAAGACCTGATTTCATTGCGTACTTCTGTTTTGTCATAAAGTATCAGTAACCTCCAAATTCATAATTCTGTTCCACTTCAAGTAACCTTCATGTTTAAAATTAAAAAAAAAAAAAAGTACTAAACTACCTGCCAAAACCCTGGAGGAAGGATGAAAGGGTGGTAGAGGGGTGCCTGACAGAACCACTCTCCCTAGGAATTGTGGCATTCAGTTCACTTGCTAATGATCTACTGAGAGGCTTAGCATCCATCCTTTGGAAGCCCCATCTGCTCCTGAGTAGTTTGAGCGCCAGCATGAATTTATTTAACAAATGCCAATCCTGCCAAATGTTGGATATTCCATGAAGTTCGTAGAAGTGGGACACATGGTCCTTCATGTAACTCATATAAGACAGATATAATTTCTCAAAGTCACACTAATTTTTTTCAGTTGTATTATTATCTAAAATACTGTTTTTATAATTTTAAATAGTACTTTTTATTTTGTGAAAAAAGACTTCCGAACATGCATAAAAAGATAATAAATGGCTTATTAATATTTCTGGTTGTCTACAAATTTATTAAGGAACTCCTTTTTCCTGAGAAAACTTTTTAAAGCCTAAAGCAGAATTCTTTGGAGGAAGTACAAGTCATTTTCCCCCCAAAAGTAATAAGAATAATTAAAAATCATAATATCTCATATTAAAGGTAGACATTATATACTTTAACACACAGAGCCATCAGCAATCTGGTTCATTAAAATCTTGGAGTGAATCATTTCTGATCAAAGAAAATCATTCATCCTAACTTGGTTTCCCACACTAAAAAAAAAGGGTAAATAATATTACTTTAAATTAATACTCAGTATTTTATATCCAGAAGTAAGTGGATACTGAAATTACCAACACAATGAAAGCTTAATATGTATCTAGAACAGGAGAAAAGGATACCAGAATTCCTGGCTTCCATTCCCAGCTATTTCAATGACCTATTTGTAATATTAGCCTATTCATTAAGCCGATCAGTGCCTCCTGCTCCTCATCTAGAAGAATAAGGGAGAAGGGGAACACTTCTCACTAAACTTCGTGTTTTACAACTCCAAATAGCTGAGGTTTCACAGTGATTATGAACTCCCTGTCTAAAAAGGTAGACCCAAAGCCCACTGGAAAAACACTAGTAAACAAATTCTGACCTGTAAAAACAATTTCTTTCAACCATGGCCTTGCACATGCTAAGCAGGCACTTCACCACTGAGCTACACATTCAACCTTAAAAGGCAATTTCATATGGTTCACTAATACTTAATGAAACCTGAGAACCTGGAATAAATTTTTCACCATAAAACAATAGTTAATTTGATCACAAACAGAAGGGCTAAACAAAACCAAATAATCTCTGAATAAGATAAAACCCTAATTATATCAAGTATTTCTTTCTTTCTTTTTTTAGTTGTAGATGGACACAATACTTTTATTTATTTTCATGTGCTGCTAAGGATCGAACCC